GTTTTAGCAATGAGACTAGAAAGGATACTACCTGCCATTACACATACGGACCAAAATGGTTTTGTGCAAAGCCGACAGGGGTTTCACAATGTGAGGAGAGTTCTTAATATAATTCATGCCTGTGAAGAGTTCCCTGACAATGCAATCTTATCTCTCGATGCAGAAAAAGCATTTGACCGAGTGGAATGGCCCTATATGCTCGAGGTGCTTAAACGGTTTGGATTTGGTGAACATTTTTGTGGATGGGTCAAAATAATACTTGTTGATACTACTGCAATGATATCTACTAATAACTTCATCTCTCACCCTTTTGAATTGTTTCGAGGTACAAGACAAGGGTCACCAATTTCACCTTTTCGTTTTAGACATGGAACCACTGGCGATAGTGGTTAGATCACACACCTCAATTCACAGCATTAAGACCATGGATATTGAACACAAGATAGCAATGTATGCTGATGATACTATTTTGTTTCTATCACAGCTTGCAGAAACAATACCTGCTCTCTTGGAATTGATTAATCAACTTGGTACAATCTCGGGATTCAAGGTGAACAGAGAAAAATCATCAATTATGTTTTTAAATGGTAATGAGAGGAGAAAACCATTAGTATCCCACCCATTTGTGAATGCTGCATAAGGATTTCGATACTTGGGCATCATAATAACTCCAACTATAAGCAAACTTAGTTCAACCAACTACGAACCCATGGTAGCAGAATTGGGGGAAGAGATCAACAGATGGACAACATTGCCTATATCTATACTGGGAAGAATAAACATAAAAAAGATGACCATATTACCCAAATTCCTATATGCTTTTCAATCAGTTCCACTAGCCCCGCCACCTTCTTTTTTCCCAAAAAACAGAAAGCTTCTCTCTAATTTTTTCTGTAACAACAGGAAGCCAAGACTTCGACTCTCTCTCCTCTACGTGCCCTATGATAGAGGAGGGCTACAGTTGCCAAACCTAGAATGGTATTATTGGGCTGCTCAGCTGAGGGCCACAATGTTTTGGTTTTCTAAATACGTTTTCTTGCTGTGGGTAGAAATTGAAAAAATGTTTTAATGTTTTATCCTAATATAGTGGACATATGTTATAAGTGTACTGATCACAAGGGTCCATTGTACCACTCTTTGTGGGAGTGTGAAAAGATTCAAAAGTTTTAGTGCTCAGTGTTAAAATATATTTCTCAGATCACCCTGTCACATTAAGTCCCAACGTCTGTATTTTAGGCATTTATTAAGATGACTGTAATTTAGCTCAGACAGAAAGATGGTTGACCTTTGCTTACTCCAGGCCAAATGTTGCATTGCAATATGCTGGAAGAATGTTGGTGGCCCCTCTTTTGACCAATGGTTAAACAGTGTGTCATCAAGTTCAGTTCCTGAGAAACTGACCTATGTGGTTAGGAAAAGATCATCAGAAGTTTTTGACATTTGGAAAATGATCCTGGAGCTATTAAAGACTGGGGATGTTGAGGAACTGGAGAGAGGATAATGTAATGAAAATATGCAACTAAATTTGGGAATGTATACAGTATAGACTATCCTGTACTTTTTTTTTGTTTTTTATTTTATTTTATTTTTTTAATTTCCCTTAGTATTTTTTTTGAATGTCTTGCTTTCTTAGTGCTTTCTTACTGCCACATATTCAAGGTGTTTAAAGTGTTGGATGTTTATGAATACAAAATTCAATAAATATGTTTACAAAAAAAACCCAGTGAAATGTGGATTATTAAATATTAGGTCTCTCTCCTCCGAGTCTCTGTTAGTACATGACTTAATAATTGATCAACAAATGGATTTACTCTGCCTTACAGAAACCTGTTTGCAGCAGGATGATTATGTTAGTTTAAACGAATCAACACTCCGAATCATAACAACTGTCAGAATAGGAGGAGTGGCAGCATTTTCCCACACCAGCCTATTAATCAACCAAAGACCCAGACAGACTTTAAATTCATTTGAAAGGCTGATGCTTAGCCTTGTCCACCCCAGCTGTCATTACAGTCAGCGTCTTTATGAAAGTGCAGACATGACAAAAGACACACTGTCGAAGAGTGCCAGAAATGATTGGTAACTAATTATTCAATGCAGAGTGAGTGAAAAGAAACAGTTAGGCTGCAGTAGGCCTAGGCTGCTGGGGGCTCCTCATGATGCACTAAGAGGATTCAGGGTCACCTGATCCAGCCCTAACTATATGCTTTATCAAAAAGCAAAGTTTTAAACCTAATCTTAAAAAGTAGAGATACTGTCTGTCTCCTGAATCCAAACAGTTCCACTTTTCAATGCCCTGTTTACGGTTTACAAACACCCCAGCGCTCTGAGACTGACCTGCTCAGTTGGGGTGATAGAATACTACCAGGTCTTTAAGATGAGATTCACAGGGAGCCAGTGAAGAGAAGCCAAAATGGGAGAAATATGCTCCCTCTTTCTAGTCCCTGTCCACTTTTGTTGCAGCTGACTGAAGGTTTTTCAGGGTTTTTTATTTTATTTATTTATTTATTTTATTTGCTTGTGTTGAACCTTAGGTTAGGGCCTAACTGAGAGCATAAGTAAACCTTTACGGAAGTCCTTCTAATACTGAGAGGCTTTTAGCTTTAATAACACTGAAGAAGTCACATGATTAAGTCTCCTGCTTAAAATAAAGTGACAAAAACAGCAACAACAACAACAGCAGATTCTGAACTCTTAGCTCAGCAATTTCCAGTTTCTCAAGGTGAGGACAATCCCCCTGAAAACTTCTGTCCGAACCTTTCTGTGGAACATACCTGGCAGCGGCCCATGTAGGCCAAGATTTTCCCAGCCTGGTGCAAATGGCACAGACTGCGGTGGTCGATGCCCTCAGTGTCGCAGACTGGGTCCTCGCTGTTCTTGTCGCAGGTTGCCGCGTGCCCGATGCACTCATACTGCGGACAGTCCGACACGTCACTCAGACACACGCGATACTTTGGGATGCACCTGCCAAAGCACACATAAACATACAGTACCACGGCAAAGTATTTGCCCCTTGAGCGCCCCTGATTTCTTAGTCTGTTACATATTTGCCACACCTATATGTTACAGGTCATCAAAATAAATATAATTAGATTAAAGACACAAGCTTTAATCACATATGGGCAGATTAGCCTGGATAACTCTTTCCCCTTAATAAATGAAATAATCATTTAAAATGTGCTTGTGCTAGTGTGACCACTAAGTCAAATGTATGCAAAAAATCATCACAACGGCAAATCCTTTATCACAGCACTGCATGTATATAACTCCATTCTGTTCTTTAAGGAACTATGTGTACGCAATTTCCAAAGCTGCAATAAAAAGAGAAAATGAACAGGAGCAAACCTTTTTCTTCTGAACACACAGAACCTTGCTCTATTACCATAGCAACGGAAAAGTCTTCAAGGCTGGGCGAATCATGTGTTACACACACCTGAGGTGGATCACTCACTGCATTGTTTACTCTGAGAAAGCAAAGAGCTTCAGCGCTCGCTCTGTGTGCGTGCGTGTGTGTGTGTGTGTGTGTGTGTGTGTGTGTGTG